ACATCTTCGTACTGTCATCTAGTCGCCTGCTATAAGCTGTAGAAGTTGTAAAATGTTCGTAACGTAACAGAGAAACGTTTTTTTCGATTTTTTTTTCAGTTTTTCTTTAATAACTCGACAACCTTTTAGGATAATTACATCATCGACCACTCGTATGAAAGCTGAATGTCTCACCTTTCCAACGAGTCTACTGACATCTTCGTACTGTCATCGAGTCGCCTGCTATGAGCTGTTGAAATTGGAAGAAAAGTTAATAGAAATTGACAGACAAGTCATGTTTTCTGTTTTTCGTTAATAACTCGAAAAGTATTAAACTTTTTTATGATTTTATTGCATAATCAGATGCACGCAAGCGTTACGCAACTTTCTATGTAACAAAAGTTACGTAATGTTCGTTACGTAACAGAGAAACGACGTTTTTTTCCAGTTTTTCGTTAATAACTCGACAACTCCTTAAGATAATTACATCAATTTGTAATGCAATTTGTATTTACGTTTTCTTTTATTATTCAACAGTTGTCGCAGGCTCAGGAAGGGGTGGGCAGGGAGCTGCAAAAGTTGGACACGGCGAAGGAGGATTGCATCGAACAGATAAACTCGGTATTCCAACAGGTGCAGGCGTTGGTGGATAGAAGGAAGCAGGAGATGATCGACGCAGTGACGACGGCCTGCATTGAAAAGCGGAAGGTGCTTGAGGAACAGCACGCGCTCATTCAGTGCGAGAAGAACAAGGTGCAGCAGGAATGCGAGGGTTTGCAGTATCAGGTGGAGGTACGCAATATTACTCAACGCATCGAGAGCCTCACGGAGAAGCTGGACGCTGCGTCGACGCTGGGCGAGCCAAGGGAGAACGCCTTCCTCACGTGCGACTTTACTCAGAGCGACAGCCTGCAGAGCATCGAACAGAGTCTGGGTAAATTGGGTAAGGTGCGTACCAGCACAACGTTCCCGTCTCTGTGCAGAGCCCAAATGGAGGAGGAGAGCATCGCCGGCATCGAGAACAGCGTTCTACTGACGACCGTCGATTACCACGGCCAGGAGAGGCAGAACGGCGGCGATCCGGTGCAGGCGGAAGTGCTACCGGTGAGCGTAACCGCCGCCGCCGCAGTTGACGTCGTCTCCGTGGAGGTGCCGAGCACGGTCACAGATTGCGAGGACGGCACGTACAGGATTAGCTTCAGGGCGCCTAGAGCTGGACGCTACGGCGTTCGCATCTCCGTCTTCGATCGACCGATCAAGGACGTTCCTCTCTTCTTCGACGTATCCGAGCACAACAATCCGGTGAACACGTACGGATCTCGCGGCAGCGGAAAGGACGACTTCATGCAACCGGTGGGCGTTGCCGTCGACGAATCCAAAGAGGAGATTTACGTCCTCGACACTGGCAACTCGCGCATCAAAGTACTTAATTACGACCTGCAGGTTATAAAGCACATCACCAACGAGGGATTGTCAGGAAGAAGCTGCACCGGTGAGGAGGAGATACATTACAAATTGTAACTAACTATAACATTATACTTTTTCTTCTGTTTTCCCTCTCGCAGGAATTGCCGTTTCGAATAATGGTCTGGTCGTGGTCAACTGGAGGACTCGGACGGTCACCGAGATGACGACGAGCGGACAGACGGTGATGACGTTCACGTACAACGCTTTCCAGGAGCCGATCAATGTGGCCGTGGACAAGTGTTACGGGCACATCCTGATCGCCGACAACGGCATGAACTGCGTCTACGTCTTTGACGGTGACGGAAAGATTCTCTTCCAGGTGGGTGGTGGTGGAGGAAAGAAGGGCACGTTCAGTCTGATCACTTCGGTGACGGTCGGACCGGGCGGCGAGATCGTCGTCGCCGACTCCCGCATCCAGGTGTTCTCGGCGAAGGGCGACTTCGTGTCGGTGCTGCACGACGAAGGCAGAGGCAAGGGCAGATACGGCGGCATCACCGTCGACTCGGACAACAGGATATTGGCGAGCCGGAGCGAGCAGAAGGGACGCAACTTCGTGCAGATCCTCTCCTTGGTCGACGCCAATCTCAGCAACACGATCGATTCGCACGACAGCAAACTGAAGAGGCCGAGCGGCATCGCCGTCACCAACGATCGTCACGTCATCGTCGTCGATCTGGGAAACAATTGCATCAAAAAGTATCGCTACTGGTAGATTGGAGCAACTTCACACAATGAATGAAAGAAAGAAGAAAGGAAGGAAGAGCTCTATATATATTTTTGTGGCCATATTAAACGTAAAACTAGCCTTTCCCCTTTCCTCAATCATCCTGCCATCTCCCACCATCATCATCATCAACCCTCGAATAACAAGATACAACATATATATTTTAAATATACATTTTGTTTTATATATATACAAACAAAACGTGACCGGCGGCGGCAATCTCTTCTCTCCTTGAAACTGTTGAAACAAAACAACAACAATAACAAAAAGAGAGTTTTCTTGTTCGCCGCCTTTTTTTTAACTATAATTTCTCATCTGTGATTGTACATTTAAACGAAACAAAACAAAATAACGAAGAATTTAAAAAGGAAGCTGACCATTTACATACACATATATTATCATTAATATTATTGCTACATACTACATTCTAGTACTACTACTACTATTGCTACATATACTACTATTACATATTTATAGATATACGTACGTATATGTTACTATTACATAATTCGTTCACGTTTCCTCACACTCTACTTACTAAACAGTAAAAGTACTTAATCAAATAAGTTTAGAGATCGTTGCCTATGTATTGTATATGTATAAAGAAATAAGAGAGAGCGAAAGGAAAAAAAAACTTAAATCAAGAGATTAAAAGGTAGAAAGTAAATAGGATTTCAATGATGACGATAATGATAATAATAATAACTGATTAACTTCCGTTCCGTACGTGTGTTTTTTTTTTTTTAATTTCATTCATCCTCTCATCGTTTCGCAATTACAATTCAAAATTTCTTTTTGTTCAAAGTGTAATTACTTAATCTAGTCATTAGATCGTATATTCGGTTATTAATAATACAATTTCCGTACATATTAAAAACCCTCCAATACCCCCCCCCCTTCACCCCCACGAGATCCACCTTACTTTTTATTTTAAATAATATTATGTACTTTTTTATGTATCTTTTTTGTACCATTATTTTCACTTCGCCCATCGAATAAAATTTAATGTGACGAAACCTTCGACAATTACACTCCAAATGTTTTGTCCCTCGAGGCGCTTCTCAACACTTGCCAAGTACGCAATACTTGACAAGCTTTCTCGATTTATATGATATACTATCATCAATGTTTCAGATCCACAAGTATACAGCCGCTAGCGTTTACAAATTTCAGTCAATAATAGCGACTAACTAATGGAATTAATTATGATGAAATATCGTTTGTAAATAGTTTTTAGTATTATCAATAAATATAGAACAAAAACATTGACACCTTAACTTTTTCTTTTCATTTGAAACAAAAGCTCAATTCGTAACGTAAGTATATAAATTTCAGACGCGTCCGCCAGATGGAGCTCAGCAGCAACATTTGTTCGGTCATAGCTATCTTCTTTGTTAACGCAGCTATTAACAATTATGTAATTAACGGAAATCCAATTGTATTCTCAACGTTTTTTGATTCATCATTAAGACATAAATTGCAGCAGTACTAAAATGGATTTAGCCGAGCTACAAACCACCAATGTTGTTTGCATCTCAACTAAAATTAGAGAATGTGCACTTTCTGATATTAACTAATGAGAGGATTCATGGAGAAACAATTGAAAGGATAGTTCATAAATAAAACGGTAGGATTTATCGAATCGTCAGTCCTTTTATTCTGCTCTGTTTCTTCTCTCTCTCTCTCACTTGTTTTCCCCCACATATATTTTCATCCATTCCTTTTTTCTTTCTTCTCACTTCTTTCTCAGATATGTTTGTACACATGTAAGATGAAAAACAATAAACGTATTTCACATATAACAACAAGGATTTGTTTCCGATCCGCCCTTCATCTTCTCCATCATCATCACTAATCGATACAATAATAATCATAATATGTAATGGGAGGCTGAGGTGATACAAAAATCGTTTCTGTCACTATCTTTCTCTCTTGCAGTCACTCATCACATCATTCATATATGTCTACAACAAACAAACAAAAAAACAAAGAAAAAAAATACTCCTAACGAAACGTAGATAGAAAGAAAAAACAATAATTAAAATAAAGTAAATACGAACATAGTAATAAGTCATAGTATAGTAGTAATAATAAATGAATAAAACTTATAAGCACAGATTTAAAATATTTCGGTATAAGTATATAATATATATATATGTTTTTCTTTTCTTGCTTTTTTTTTCCCATTTTCTCATTAAATGTAATCATAATTAATGTGTTTTTTTTTTCTCTTCTCTTCATTACACGCACACATCATCACAGCATTCTCAAGTCCGATACAACATACTAAAAATTATCTGCGTCTCCGTTGTCTATCACCAATTATTGTTTCCCTTTCATATGCTTGCTTGCTTCTGGCTTCTTTCTCCTCCTTTCAAAACTCATCAAATGAAATAATAAAATAATCGATTGCATCGATTTCTTCCTCCATCCTTATTACCCACCAAAAAAAAAATATATATAAATATTCATTAATTCTGTGGATGTTCGACAACAACTTTTTCTTCTTGTTTCGCGTTAAGGGCAACGATGCTTCAGGTAACGATTATATATATATATATAGATTTATATATTATTCCCATTATTATTTTCTCAGTCCAACAAAACAAAAATTCCCCAAACTTCTTAAATTTTGCTTCAAAACTTAATTTCAATATTACACAACAGCTATAAATATAAAATAAATTCATCTTTTTCCATTTTTTCCTCTCAATAATGCCCTAATTGACTAATCAGTTCCAAATATATACTTTTTGTCTTTCTCCAAAAAAACTTCTCGTTTTATTTCTCTCGCAATCCGTCCCCTTTGACGCTTTTTTATTTATATATATGTATGTACATATATATTATATATCGAAATTATATACAAAAATATATAGTCGATAAACGTAAACTCCTGACCTGAAGCACTCAACGTCATCAATATTATTATTATATATATATATACATTCTGCTGTTTTTAGTACGCCCTCTTTTTCGCGTTACGAGTCTCTCCACCTCTTGTATGTGTATATTATTACTATTATGCTTATTGTTTGTAATTGTAGAGTTAAACGTATGGTGTAACATAATCATCATCATCATCATTATAAGCTAGATCAGGTCCTGTTCGTCTGTGGGCACTATTGGTGGGTGATCCTTGGAGGCGGGCTGCAGAATCTTGAAGGCGGAGCCTTGACTAGGTTTCAATTGGAAGTTGCTGGGCTGTGGGGCGTTGTCCAGCGGCAGGCTCCGCCTCTCGTCCAGGGCCACCAGGTGAACTCGCTCGCAGCCGTCCGGTGGCCCGCGGGCCAAGAACATGCGAGGCGACGTACCGAGCCGACTGCCGCCGCCGCCATCCGCATCAGGACTCGAACCTCTGCTGCCACCTTTTGCATCCGCAAACATACACACACAGATTATCAATGGATCAACGAACGAACTAACTATTCGATATAGTCGAATAGTAAATGTAAGCATGCACAAAGCAACAGGGGAGTCATCTTCGTATAGGGGATGCGGGTGCAAATGTTGTTAATTGGATTTTAGTATCTAGATTGTGTGTGTGACAACAAAGGAGCTTCCCAACCCTTCCAACAAATAACAGAGGGCATAAAGACGTGTTCATGTTACACTATGTCATGACAATTAGTGCTACTACAATCTATTATTGTTGCTACTACATTGGGTGGGAAAGCGTCCGATGGTCTAAGTAAGCTAAGGAAATAAGTTTGCTAGTACGTATAACCTGAGCAGGGTGACGTGTCTGAATACCCATGTGACATGGGTGATATTGAGTCTCTTGAAGGGGGACCTTCGAAGAGAAGGCGACGGATTCGATTAGCGACAAGAATGGAGCACGCTCGAAGGTTTGTTTTTTTTTTTTTAGTGGAACAGAAGAGGAAGAATACTCACTCGAAGATTGGCAGCTGCCAGTGACGTCAACCAGGGACGGAGTTTGTGTGTTCACGGACCTGGTGTTCCTGAAGAGATCGGGCAGCGGTGCCCGATGTCCTTCGGGCGTGATCTGCGTCAGCTTATCGTAATCCTCGCTCCTATCGCTCGCCACGTCTCCGGCCGCCTTCAGCACGAAACCCTCGATCTCCTGGTTAAGACCCTCCACCGAGTTCCTCATCGTCGGTCTGGGCAACGGCTTTATTGGTATGCTTACAGCTGGTGTCGCTCTAGGTATTATGAACGCTGTCACACCAAAAAAAAAAGATATTAATTTAAAAGAGCCGACTGTAAAAAAAAGATGATAGTTACATGTGTTTGTTTGGGAGCTGGTGGTGAGTGTGTGGTCACCAGTGATGGGTGAAATCCTGCTGCTGGATGTCTGTTGATTATTGCTCCTCTGCAGCCTATGTCTGAACTTGTCCATCATCCTCTCATCACTGTCTTGCCTCAGATGGATCTTCCTAGACTCCACCCAATCACACTCATCAGTCTGTAAAAACATTAACATCTGTAATATTGGATCCAATTGGATTTATCTTATAAGCTAGTTGAAATCTTGTTAGTATATTTACCTGTGTTGCTTTGTTTATTTGCAGTGCTGGCTGGACACAGTAGTTGGATTCCCGTGGCCACTGCCCTGAGACATAGATTGTATCCAAGGAGGCTGTCCTCCGAATAGCACTTCCTCCATTGGCAGCATTGCTCAAACATCTGACATTCCCTGGAAATGAAAAGCCTATTTAGTATTTGGACAACATATGTATATCAATTTTACACCTTTGTTTATCGAAGAGCCAGGGCTCCTTTGTCCAGAGTGGTTTGAAGAGATGGTATTTTTCCAGGTGGTGTTGGTGGTGCAGTACGAAGACATAATGGTTGGACTCTTCTGCAGAGAGCTACTCTGTTTGACCAGCGAGGACATTGGTATGGTGGCCTTGATGGGGCCCTGCTTGGAGAGTCCACTTGGTGAAGATTTGAGCACCCTGGTGGTGCAGGGGTTCGCACCTGGAGGACCCGACATCCTGCAGGATCGGGGTGTCGCCAAGGACCTGCAGGGGCCCTCCTCCACACCGAAACGGACCCACGCAAATTCGGGGGGAGACAGAAATACAGAAAGAGAGAACGCGCAAACGGAACGGAATGAAAACAAGGAGACAGAAAAGAAAGGAAGTCGAAAATGAGGAAACGACAACTACTGAACAGTCGAAGGAACGTCGACAGCGCTGAATCACCAGAAGAAGACGATCCTCCAGGTGAACTCCGAAACACTAACGAAAGAGGAAAAAAAACCGGTCTCACTCACAACACTTCCACCGCCGTCACCGCTGCCGCCACCGCCGCCAACTTTTCGCTCTTTCTGCAGCTCTTCATTGTTGAGATCATCGTTTCCTCAGTGTTGCCATTTCATTGGCGACAACTTTACTTTTCCGGTGAAAAAAACTGCGAACACCACCGAGAGACCACCACCTTCAAGAAACGAATTCCAATATGAATCGCAGCGGTGAACGTTTCCGGGTTTTCCAATTGGAATGAATCGGTGATCTGCATCCAAATCGGGCTACGTTTTGCAACAGCGACAAACAAACACGCAAAGAAAAAAAAAACTTAAATTTTGCATATTTCAGCGTTGCCAACCGACCTCCACTCCATCCATCTGATGAATCTGCAAATATACAAAATGCATTAAATTCAACATGAAATCTAATAAAATTCAGTTTTGAGAATCTTGCAATCAAACACAAACAATTACTATACATATTTTCATTAAAATCGAGATACCTCAGTCTATTGACTTTTACTCCATCTGACGTTCACTTTCAGAACTGCTCAGGTTTCAAATTCAAATTATTTATGTGCTATATTCCGGTCATTATTTAAAATTATATAACATAAATTATAGTAAGAGACGTAGAATAGGCGACTATGTTTTTTGCATATTATGGTTAAATAGTTTTAGAATTATTTAATTAAAAATTTAGCATTTAAGAGATTTTCTTTTTAAATAATTGGAAAATTGTGTTTCCTAACAAATATGCATATTAAACATAAAAAACTATAATCTCTCTAATAAAAGCGCGTACTTCCAGTATTTCCCGTTCTACTGCTTGCAAAGTTGTATACGTCGTGGGAGGGAATTGCGATTTGTGTAAATATTTACAAATACTACTTGTGTTATGTTCGGTCTCTCGCGTCCTTGACAAATGGAATACGCTAAAAAAGCAGACAAAGGCGTCGATGCAATCTGCGTCTATAAATGAATGTCGCGACTGATCGCGGCGGCGGCATTCGAACGAAGATGTTGCACGGTTGTGGACTTGCAACCGCTTCCGTCCTCCTGCCCAGCGCCGGTGGATGTATCTTAGCCTCGTGCAGCTGCAACAGCAAGGACCTCACCAACGCCTGGTACACAGGTCTGGATAAACCCTCTTGGTGCTTGCAGAACCGCAAGCAATACGCTCCCCTAGCATTTCTCGCAAACTCCGCAGTTGGCTACGCATCTTATCTGGTGTACAAACATGGCGAAGGATGCTCAGGTAATTAATTGTGTTTATCTGCATTTTGCCATATTGGAATTATTAATAATTTTGACACGGTAGGTCGTGCCAAAAATGCGATGATCGTTTACGGAGGTCACCTGGCGCTCCGCTGGACCTGGACGCACCTCTTCTGGGGATCGCGCAACATAAAATTGGTTTGTTTACATACCTCCCTCCCTCCCTGTTGTCTCGACAACAACAACTCTTATTAAATTTTCTTCTTCAGGCCTTCTACGAGATTCTGGCCGCAGATGCCAGCATCCTCCTGACAGCGCACTTTTTCTACCAAATCGACCGGAAAGCTGCTATCCTCTTCGCAGTTCCCTCGGCCCTTTGGCTCGGTTATCTCACCGCTCTCAACTACATCCTCTTCAAGCGGAATGCACCTAGAATTGCAGAATAAATGTTATTATTTTCAATCTTTTATAATCTTTAATAACTAAAAAATATATTGTTAATTGTACGTTGTTTTTTTCTTATTTACATTTTGATGAACCTCTATCCTCGCATTTGTTTATATTTTTCGCTTATCAAAGAATGATGCATTCAACTTCTTCTTAATTATTTACGCGCAGCAACGAAGTTTTGTTTGTTGTGTTAAACTGTTGATAAAAAAAACATGTTATTTCTCACATTCTGGCTTGACGTAATATTTATATTCGCAGATGGTGACGGAATTCACAGTGCTAGTCGAAATCGGTCATCTTTTATGTATTGATTTAAAACTGTTTATATAATTGAATCACCTTTAAAATTAACTGCAAGAATGTCAAATAAAAAGTAGCAATCAATGTTGTTACAAAACAAAAATAAGAGTGAATACAAAAATCAAACTATAGCGATTTGAAAATGATTAAAAATATTGAATATTAAAATCGGATTTGGTGTAAAGAGAGAGAACTTCTTCCGCTGTAAGTGGACATTTTGTATTCAAAGTGAGAGAAGGGCACGGATGGAACTTGAAAAACACGGGAAGCCGTTTGCAACGCCTCCAGACCGGCAAAAATGATCTCTTTAGAGGCGGGGAACCAACGTAGAAGATGCTTCCAGTGAGACTTGTTGAGGATGAGAACGTCGACGGCGGTGAGCGCGATGTAGGTGCGATCGTGCGCCACCCGGTACAACCCCTGACGCTCCCCAAATGAATTACCAGGCCCAATAACGGTATTGAAGTTCGACTCGTCGACGATCATGATTTCGCCTCGATGCAAGAAGTACATACCTGTGTGTGTATTTGTTCGTATTGAGAATGGATGAGAATATTAATGGAATTCAAGGCGTATACATAGATCCACGTCTCCGGTTTCCACGATGATCTGCTCCGGTAGGTACAGCCTGACCTGCAGATGCACGCACAACTGCCGTATAAAGTCCACGTGCGTCATCTTGAAGATGTGGTGACCGGTGATGTGATGGCCGTACATGGCCTGCATGACGGTCTGCCGCAGGTAGAGAGGAGCATCCAGAATCAGAGATGGTAGCAACTCTCCACGTCTTTTGGTCCAGAGTCCCAGCATGTATACGTTCACCTTCTTGATCAGTATCGACGATAACCTTCGATTCTATAAACGTTGCATAGGTTAACGAAATCCTCAATCATAGTTTGTATTGTTGTGCTTACGCAAAGATACGAGTTCAGCAGGCTCATATCGCATCTGTACTTGTTCTCGGTGACCATGTTGATTACCAAGAGGCTTGTGAAGGCGCCCGAGATGATGGCAATGATGAAGACGGATGCCACCAGGATGGAGATCGAGACGATGATCTCCGTGTAGCTCTTCGGAATGCTCGTTCTCAAGCTGGTGGCGGTGAACATGTTGATGGTGTAGAGAAATGCCATTACAATAGCATGATCTTTGCCGCTGGGTGAAGCCGTGTGCTTCTTGTATCCGTGCACCGTCACGAAAGAGCACTCTTTCTCGGTGCAAGAAATGCGGTACCAAATCAAAGACATCACGGTCAACTCGAACATTACCATGTAGCAGATGTACGAGCATTGGAGCACTATGTTCAAACCTAGCGTTCTCTTGGAGCCGTGGTAGTACAGCACCAGATGCAAGAATCTGCAATCATTAAAAAAAAACTTTGATTGTATTATTTAACTTTTTGAATATACCAAACCTAATAAGACGACTGTTCATGCATATAATCATCGGTCCATTGATGGCGTACATCAGCAGTTCTAGAGGGACGAGTCCGAGCAGATCCACCCAAAAGATGAGGGTGTTCGTGTAGCGTTTTCGAATCTTCGAAGGCTCCGTCACTCGCACTCCAGACTCCACGTCCGTGTAATGCAGATGGAACTGGATGAAAACGAACAAGAAAAAGAAGAGATCGCACACCGAAGTATACACCTAGACAAGACATATAATATATATATAAACTAGATAATCTATTAAAAAGTTCACCTGCAAATAGATGTAGTGGAGGTCCAAGAACTGCAAGAGTAAGAGCACAATACAACTGATTGGAGCAACGTGCACGTGCACAGCGTACTCGTACAGCTTGTAGTACTTGCTCTCGGGTTTCACAAAGTCGTTGATCTTCATGTAAATGGTGTATAACTTCTTGTCGATCAGTGCCATATCATCTTTGCCGACAATGTTCATCTGGTAGAGCTACAAGGAAGATGTGAATTAAATTGGAACATTAGGAAATAGTATAGAGTAAGCTTTACGTGCGTGTTGATTTCCATGCAGTCTATGTACTCGTCGCCGCAGCTGATGGCGTTATTGAGACGCAACAGGATGAGCGGAAAGTCCTTGGCGAGGACGTAGAATTGGTGGCTGGGGATGGTAAGGAGTTCCACGTGGTACTTGGCCACAACACGGATTGTCTGCCTGGTGGCATCCATCTTGGTGAGGCTACCGAAGCAACCTCCTCGTTTCAACGTGACCATCTTGCAGCCGGCGATGTAGACGTCCACCTCACCCTTCGACACGAAGTATAGGTTTGCTTGGATGTCGTTGCACCTGATGATGTCCGCATCGAGCATGAAGTACTGTATCTCAAAGTATTTGATGAAGACGCGCAGCGAGGTGCGATCAACATTAGTGAAGAGTTTCGACTTCTGGATAGTTGCCAGGAACAGATATTCTCGCATATCCAAATGAAGCTTCTCGTCAAACGTGTCCAACAGTTTAGACATCACCACGCCCTCTGAAATTAGTGTACTCATTAATAATAACTTATATTCATTAACGTTCACTTACCGCACTTCTTCCACACATATTCAAAATGATCTATGAATACTTTTATGGTACTCTCATCCACCATCTCCTTGTTTATGAACGAGATAAAGTTAGTCATGCTGTTTCTGTACTTGATGATCTGCATGTTACTTCCCATCTAAAAAGTATACGCTTCTTAAAAGCAAAACTTATGCGTTTTATATGTTAATATTACCGCCGCTCCGGTGATGCTGGCAATAACGAAGAGCCTGCAGATCCAGAAGAATATGGCGATGAAGAAGGTTTCCAAGGCACCTCCGGTCATTTCGTCGCGTCCGTAAGCCACGTACGTTGATCCGAACCTTGCCGAGACGGCGTGCAGGCAGAGCAGCAGAAGATTCTTATTTAGTTGCGAATCGGGAAGGATGGAATTCGCAATGATGTTCGAATCTCCGGTGCACATGTAATTGAAACCGTACTGCGGAATAAACAAAATAAATCACCAATAACAGAAAAAGAAATATTTCCGTTACTTTCACGCAGATTGTTAGCAGTATGTTGTTGGAGAAGATTATAGCTATGGCCACGAAGAACAGCATCAGTTTGAACGCGTGTCCGACGTAGTGTCTGTAGCCCTTGATGTTCCAATCCATGTAAGTCAAACCCATGAAGGGCCTGTAGAGGATCATTGCGAAGTAGATACTGTTGAACAGCAGATTCACTGTAAACTCACAACGATTAGTTATTACATAACTTAGTTTGTACTTGCAGTTGTAATACGTAGAAGATTGTAGACACCGCCTATGTAGATCCTGTAGAGACCCCATTCGTAGAATGGGAAAAGTGTGACCACGTCGGCTAAGAACGAGGTTTTCAGGTAGTGCATCACGGTGCTCATGAGGTCGGTGACCACGATGTTGTTCCTGTTGTAATACTGCACGTGGCACCGGATCTTTGAATTACCAAATTATATAACATTAGTTGTTGTTATAGTATATACACTTACGTAGATATCAATGGCGAAGACGATTTTAATACCTGTAAAGGCGTAGATCGTGTACTGCCAGTATTCCTTCATCATGGTATCCACGAGCGAATACACGACGAAATAGACTACAGCCAATAATGACCTAAAACACTCCCAGGTGATGAAAAAATTGCCGTGCGGATTGATCGAATTCTTCATGATCACAAATCGCAATATACCTAGAAATGTTTCATTTCAAATAATATCAATTTATATTTCTTGAAATTTACTTACCCAATCTAGATCTTTGGTCGTTTGTTCCAACGACCTCCTCGTCGAAGATTTCGAACTCGAAGAGATCGCCGATTTCCTTCGGTTTCCGCTTCTTCCCATCATCCCCAATCAAATGTCCATATTGCCTATTCAATAGAGATTGATATTTATTCATGTGCCACTTCAGAGTTATCTCCAGATTACTGTATTCTTCAAGAGAGAAAACAAACACATTTTTTTTATAAATTACTTAACAAACAAGAAAAGTAACTTACCTAAGCGACAAGATTTCAACACACACATCGCCGCGTTGAAATCCAAGCAAATCTCCTCCACGGCGCTGATGGCGACAACAGTGTTCAGACTGTTCACGTTATGAAACGTTTCGATGACAGGGAAAGAATCACCGAACTGCAGGATTCGTTTCACTTTCCTATCCAGATCTCCAGGCATCTCGCAGGACATCCTGCAATAGCTGAAAAAGAAGTGAAGCAAATATATTAATATTCCTAGCAATAAAGAATATCTACAGACCCTCGCATTATTATGTGGATGTACAGAGGGCGAACGTTCGCACTGCAGATGATGGTATCAGCTGGTAGAGTTCTCAAGACGGCGCAGGTAGCTAACATGGTGAGTACTTCATCCGAGTATTTGGAGAATATCGGCACGAACTTTAATCCGTTGATCAGCTTTTTCGTTACCAGTTCCCATTTCAACTCCAATGGAATGCTTTCTGAAATACTTCGATATTACAGCAACAAAACTACAGAAGTTTCAGGCCTCACCGTGATAATCATTGATGTCGATGTGCTTTTCGTTGAACCAATTGAAGTAGAGGTAATCCAAAGCGTTTTGTCTAAAACTCGTGGGCATGACGTTGTTCACCATGAAGTTGTAGATCATGCGAAGCTTATCGCGAAACATGAAATTCTCCTCGTTCATCTTGATGATGTTGCAGTTCAATTCGCTCAGGAATAAACTGTACAAATACATGCTGTAAAAAAAGAGGAGAACGATAATATTTGCAATATTATAACAATTTTGTAATTACCCAACGAGAGTGGTTAAACTATAGAAGCACATCTCGAACACCGAGGTGGCCGTTCTTCTTGATAAGCTGATGTTCATCAGGGCGCTTATGGTGTAGGCGCTGGCAAAGTAGTAGGTGTCTGCGTTACTCTTGTCCGAGCTCGTTTTCAACGCTAAGAAAATTACTACTTTTAAGCAACGGCAAGGAATGAAGGGTTTAATAATTACATCTATACTTGCAATCGCCGAAGCAGAAGAATCCGATCATGGTGCACATCACGAAGTATCCGATCAATAAGTATATGGTAAAGTATTTTACTACAATTATCGCTATACGGTTGTATCTGAGCGTTCTCTGCTTGTATATGATGAACTCGACAATCTTGTACGACTTCAGGATTCGCGGAAGTTTATACAGCAACTACAATTCAAACGTTAGTTGGTGTATTTTATTTTTAAATCATTGCCTTACCTGTGATTCTCTTGGAACCCCGAACAATGCGGCCACGTAATCGTACGGTACAGTGGCGAGGACGTCGATGAGGAACATGATGGATTTGAATCTGTAGAGAATGATCTCGGAGAATTTAGTGATCTTAGTAGAGGGAGTCTCTACTGCTGTACTAGCTTGGACGTATAGATCGAACATGTAGATGTTGTCCAGCACCAGGGATCCGGCGAAGAACGTGTCGTTGCTCGTCCCGAACGAAATCATGTACGGAATCAATATACTCTAATCAAACTGGAGTATAAGCAGCCATAATTAAGGTATTTCAATAGTATTTCCATACCTGCAAGACAACAGTTGCGAAATGGATGTAGAATAGGAACATGCGGAAGCTGGAGTTCTGGTCCATGACGTAAGGACATTTGGAGTTCAGGCAGATCGGCGTAGTCTGCAGCTCGAGCTTATCGGTGAGCGTGAGCAAATCCAGGTACTCCGAGTTGAAATTAGGTACTCTGCACTTGATGCTGAGGGGATTCAGATGGAGCTTCTTTTTTTTCATCTCATCCAGCTCGGCCACCACCCGCCACTGCTTCTTCAATCGGAAGATGGGACGGTCCCAACTCTCATTCGGCACCAACTGCCTCAAACTGGGACACCAACAACAAATGATGGATGTTGTGAATTTCAATAATTGTACCTGATGCTGCGTCTGGCTTTGGCGATGCGTTGCATGACCTCTTCGCGGATCTTGGGAGTGGCGCTCGTGTAGTTCCTGAAGACCTTGAACATGTCCGTCAATTTGAGAGTCTGGATCACGCAATTGGTGGCGCAGCGAAGATTCGCGTTGCTGGGCAGCAAAAGGACGGTTGTTATTTCGGAGAGAACAGTTCCACTTGAGAATGAGAGTATTGGAGATTCATCATCCTCCATGGATAGCACCTGCAAAAAAAAATTAGTTTTTTAATCAATTCTATTGATGATTACAAATTAATTACTTGGACAATGCCGGAGACGATGTAGATCAACTTCCTTTTCTGCGTGTTGACCTTCATGATGTAATCGCCGGATAAGTAGAACTCGTTGCTCATCACCAGACTAATCTCCTTCTTCACGCAGATGTCCAGATGCTTCAGCAGATGGGAATGATTGAACGCGTCCCAGAATATATCCAAATAAATCTCCTTCTGCAAATACCAAAACCAATTATTATCATTAGACTCTACACTAAAAAAGCAAAACCTTCAAAGACATCGGTAAGAGATGGACGGATGAAGGTCTATAAATGATGCCGCCGTGCTGCGTCCACAGCACCTTGCAGAAGCTCTGGATGCGATTCCTCAAGTGCGGCTGATCGGAGAGGATCGTGTTGAACTGATTGAGGAGTCTCTTGTAATCGTACTGCCGCGAGATCTTCTGCAGCAGCACCTTGGTCATGTGACCGATGATGACTATAGCGTGCATCGAGTATCCGATCATCATGAAGATCATCAGGATCAACGACTCGTAGACGTTGCGATGCACCAGAAAACCGGACCAATTGTGCATCACCACGTTGCTCATCGTCGAATAGCAGAGTGCGAACCATTCCGTCTTCAGATGCGGTCGTATACCGTACCTGTAGACCTTCTCCGCCCAACTGGGCGTCTTGCAGTCGTCCACGCAACCCAGACTGGACCACAGCACGCTCGCAAGGAGCGCGAACATCTGCACCAGAATCAAATGCACCATGAACACCAGAAAGAGCGGATTCGTCGAGGTGATGTTGCGCTTCGAGTGGATGAAAAAGAAGAAATGTATCTGCGAACGAAACCACATCGAAACTTGCTCATCACAAACAAAAATCTAAATAACTTACAATTCGCGCCACGCATTTCAAACGGACTGCATGCCTGATGGACTCTGCGTATTCAGGAAACACCAGGTACACCAACTCGTAGATGGGTAGAAGACTGATGAAGTCGAGGAGAAGCAGAAACACATTCCTGGACTGGTGCAACCCAAACTTGTTGATATCCTTCGAATACCTGCAATAATAACAAATGAAACCCAAAAAACAATTGATTTTTTTTTTTACCCAAATACCTGTGCAATAAGGCCAGAAGCGAATCAACCAGGTACATCAGCTCCAGAGTGTAGTACACTAAGTTGTCCATGTAGATGCTGTAAGATGGATTGTAATGGTACTTGTAGACGCACTGCATGATCAACCAGACCAACGTGAACTGCAACATCACCTCCCATATCGGATTGAAAGGCAGGAAGAGCAGCTGCAGAAGGATCGTATTCTTGAACTTTTTCTTCTCTAATAATTAATGAAAAAAAACTACATCAAATAAAGTTATTTCAATTTGTATACGCACCTTCTTCGTGACCCTCGAGCTTCTCGTTCATCTTTTTGTTTGTTTGTTTGTTTGTTTATTGACATTTGTTAAACAAATGATACGCACCCACCTGGATCTTAGATGCAAAACAAATTCAACAAAATACTCGAGCACGATTGGTTGCATAATAATTTTGATAAGCGCGACATCTATACGCGTTCAGTCAACTAATTAAATTTAAAACTTTTAAATGTTTTCGTTGCGATAACAACTTTGATTATATTTTTGTTCGACGTTTTTGGAAAGTGTCAAAATTCTCAGTGTTAAATTTTCATTTGAAGATGAGTTACAGCGGTGGTAACGATTGCGCGTGTTACGAGGAACCTGTGCAGGTTCCTCAGGAGTGCGCTTGTCCGCCGGAGATGGTCTGCACCAGGTTCACGATCGAAGTAAACAACGAAGTCGTCGATTTACCACCGAAAAAGTTGAAGTTCGTTAACAGGAAGAAACGAAAATCTCACGGCAGAGGGCCCTGCTACGATTATTACGATGAGGTGCTTCGCAGGATACCTTCGTGCACTTACTACGTCGTATAACAGATGATCTCATCAAACTTCAGCAGTTTTCATGACTCACTTCGTTCGCCCATCAAGGAATAGGTAAATAATTGTACAATTTTTCTACAATTTTTTTTTGTTGGTAACTTAATTGGATTTTTTAAATACTTAAGTTGGTGCCATTGCCAGCAAAGCCTTCGCATTTAAATAAAATTGATTCTCTTTTGTTTAATTATAAACAAGTCGGTAAAAAAAAACAATGAAATCATTACGTGTCGTGTCGTGAATTCATAACGCTTAGTGAATTGCAACAGTCTATGGCAAGATTTTATACAGATGATTTAGAGATGATCTCATCAAACTTCAGCACTTTTCAGGACTCACTTCGTTCGCCCATCAAGGAAACAGGTTAATAATTGTAAAATAATTCTACATTTTTTTTTGTTGGTAACTTAATTGGTTACTAATTATAGAATTTTTTTAAATACTTAAGTTGGTGCCATTCTCTTTTGTTTAATTATAAACAAGTCGGTAAAAAAAAACAATGAAATCGTTACGTGTCGTGAATTCATAACGGTTTGCAACAGTTTATGGCAAGTTTTTATAATTAGCAAGATACCTTTTAACAGATGATTTAGAGATGATATCATCAAACTTCAGCACTTTTCAGGACTCACTTCGTTCGCCCATCAAGGAATAGGTAAATAATTGTAAAATTGTTCTACAATTTTTTTTGTTGGTAACTTAATTGGTTACTAATTATAGGATTTTTTAAATACTTAAGTTGGTGCCATTGCCAGCAAAGCCTTCGCATTTAAAAAAAATTGATTCTCTTTTGTTTAATTATAAACAAGTTGGTAAAAAAAAATAATGAAATCATTACGTGTCGTGTCGTGAATTCATAACGCTTAGTGAATTGCAACAGTTTATGGCAAGATTTTATACAGATGATTTAGAGATGATCTCATCAAACTTCAGCACTTTTCAGGACTCACTTCGTTCGCCCATCAAGGAATAGGTAAATAATTGTAAAATTGTTCTACAATTTTTTTTGTTGGTAACTTAATTGGTTACTAATTATAGAATTTTTTAAATACTTAAGTTGGTGCCATTGCCAGCAAGGCCTTCGCGTTTTAAAAAAAATCGATTCTCTTTTGTTTAATTATAAACAAGTCGGTAAAAAAAAACAATGAAATCATTACGTGTCGTGTCGTGAATTCATAACGCTTAGTGAATTGCAACAGTTTATGGCAAGTTTTTACCTTCTAACAGATGATTTAGAGATGATCTCATCAAACTTCAGCACTTTTCATCAAGGAATAGGTAAATAATTGTACAATTGTTCTACATTTTTTTTTGTCGGTAACTTAATTGGTTACTAATTATAGGATTTTTTTAAATACTTAAGTTGGTGCCATTGCCAGCAAAGACTTCGCGTTTAAAAAAAATCGATTCTCTTTTGTTTAATTATAAACAAGTCGGTAAAAAAAAACAATGAAATCGTTACGTGTCGTGAATTAATAACGCTTAGTGAATTGCAACAGTTTATGGCAAGTTTTTTATACAGATGATTTAGAGATGATCTCATCGAACTTCAGCACTTTTCAGGACTCAGTTCGTTCGCCCATCAAGGAACAGGTAAATAATTGTAAAATAATTCTACAATTTTTTTTGTTGGTAACTTAATTGGTTACTAATTATAGGATTTTTTAAATACTTAAGTTGGTGCCAATGCCAGCAAGGCCTTCGCGTTTAAACAAAATCGATTCTCTTTTGTTTAATTATAAACAAGTCGGTAAAAAAAAACAATGAAATCATTACGTGTCGTGAATTCATAACGCTTAGTGAATTGCAACATTTTATGGTAAATTTTTATAATTAGTAGTTAGAAAATTGTTTGCGCAAGAATATATCTATTAACACATATATATTTAAAAAAAAATACAACGTTGTTCTTTCTGTTTCTTTTTTTTTCAGTGTGTGGAAAACTTGAAGATGAAAGAGAAAACGAAGCAGGGATGGGAGGAAATAACTTAATGATGGTAAGGATTTGAGTTGGCTATCACTTGTGGCCGTTCTCGGTGGCCTCGATGTTGTCGTTCTTGTCGTGCACCTGCGTCTCCTTGCCCGTCTCCGTGCTGTTCCAGATGCCGTACAGGAAGTAGATGGCGAGACCTGCAACAACGAGTAAGTTGTTTTGTTGTTTGATTTGAATTGAATTGAATTTACCAATTGCTATCCAGATGGCGAACTGGATCCAGGTGTTCTGTGCAAGCGTCGTCATCAGGTAGATGTTGATGAACATGCTGATGGCAGGTAACCATGGCACCAGAGGTACGGAGAAGGTGAGCTTCGCCGAGGATCTGGGCTGGCAAGCGATGGAGGAGACAAGAGCTATGGCGATGATCGCCAATATTACCACGCCGGAGATGACGAGTGGATCAGCTTCGGATAAAAGATCCTCGCACTGGCTTAAGAGTGGTGCCAGCAGGAAGCACACGGCCACTGAAACGAATTGTAATTGTTAATTGTTTATTTTAAAATTGATGATGGTTGTGCTTACGGTACATGGCGACTTCGTAGGTGACTATGCTGGAAGATAATCTGGTTGGATACTTGAGCTTGCGGTTGTACAGCTGCTTGACGACGCTTCCAAAGGTGATGACCTGAAAGTCGTCGTCCTTCTTATCGGTGGGTCCGATATCGAATCTGCAAAAACGTTCACGAATTAGCGGATTTGGAAGAAACATTTTTTTCTTATGCGATACCTGAGGATGAGGATGCAGCCAGCGACCATGGAGTAGGCGAACAACGTTCCAATGGACATCATTCCGAACAGTTGGTGCATATCCAGGATGCAAGCGAGTACTCCGGTCAGAACTCCTGCTGCTAGGGTGCCCATGAAGGGAGTCTGGTACTTGGGGTGGACCTTTCCCAGGAAGTTGAAGAGGAGACCGTCGGTGGACATGGCGTAGATGATTCTAGGCAACGGGAACATGGCTCCCAACAAGCTGCAAGACAACGGAACAACTGTGAGTTTTTGTTTTCATCCTATCCTAAGTTTTAATACCTGGCGAAGAGACCGGCGAGGGCACCGCACGACACCACGTACTTGGCCCATTCCCAACCCACGAACTCGTAGACGTGTGGAAATGGAGCGCTCTCGTCCTTGAAACAATTAAAACAGAATTAATTGTATTCGAAAATAAAGTCGCTGTAATTCTCACGTCAATTTAACAATCCAAAATTGTTGTTTCAAATCAATTCGGTAGTTTTTACTTTAATTTATGAAATTAGCTTACTTGATCGCAATAAGGTATCATCATGGTTAGAACGGTGGAGATGCCGAAGTAGGACAAGAAGATGATGAAGAGCGAGATGACGATAGCCAATGGAATGGATTTTTGCGGAGTTTTGGCTTCTTCGCCTGAAAGTTAAAATCCTTCAGTTACATCTAGAACATTGCTTATTTCCCAGAGTGAGAGACAAACCTGCGGTGGCGATGCAATCGAATCCGATGAAACCATAGAAACACTTGGCTGCCCCTTTGATGATGCCGTTTATACCGAAAGGAGCGAAACCACCCTCGCCCACGTTGGGGTTGTCTTTGCATTGATCTATAGCCTCGTCCTTGCTCAAGAACCAGTTGTCCGTATTCACTGCAATACAGATGATTCATGTTAGCGGGGGAATAGCAAAATTAAGATGCACGTTAAGATTACCTTTCCAGATGCCGCTGATAACGACGAAGAGTACGATTATAAGATTGATAGATGTGCATATGGTGTTGATGAAAGAGGATTCTTTGGCACCGAACGCCAACGCCACAGAGAAAATGAGGATCATGGCCAGCGAGAAGAAGTCCGGATAGGTGGCCAGATTATCTACATCGATGGGCATCGTCTCTTCAAACCATTTGGACATAACGTTGTCTGCTAATCGATCTATGTAGACGAACAGCCCTTTCACGACACTCGCAGAACCTGTTGCATAAACAATATATAAATTGCATACAAGAATTCAAGAAAACAACATACCTATGACGTACTCCAGGATCAGATTCCAACCGATGATGAAGGCTATGAACTCTCCGACACTGACGTAACTGTAGATGTAGGCTGATCCGGCTTTCGGAACTCTTGCTCCAAACTCGGCGTAACAGAGACCTTTAAATGGGATATCAAATTAATGAATGAAAAATGCAAGTTTTTCTTTTTATATTTATACCTGCGAATGCTGAAGCTATGGCGGCAATGAGGAAGGAAAAGACAACAGCCGGTCCGGCGTAATTTCGGGACACCTCTCCCGCGAGGACGTAGACACCCACACCTAGGGTGCTGCCGATGCCGAGGGCAGTCAGATCAAAGGTGCTCAGCACCCTAGCCAACTTTGATTCCTCATTGGAAATTGTGATCTTCTTTCTCTTTAGCGAGAACAGCAATTGTGAAAACGTGATCGGCCTGAAGTACATCTTGTTGCCCAACTGCTCGTCAAGTACTGATGAAAACACATATCCGCATGTTACTAACTATATTTAGTAGGTTTTAATGCGTGCAGTTATCGAGTAATTGAAAGTTATATTATCTTGGTCATTAATTAACACATTACAGAAATTATATGGAAATATGAGCAATAGGCGACGCATATTTTAATGTAAACATAAAATATGCAAAAAAAAAAATGCAGTTTTCCAATTATTCACTATTGGCATCAAAACGAATATTATTTTAACACATTGACGTCAACCATCGAATATTGCCTGCCCATAAATCGTAAATCAATGGAATATGCTTTCCGATAACGGAAGTAATTGAATGCGAGGACAATAAAACAAAATATCGTCAAAAAATAAAACAACAAAAGGATTTAAAATGCTTTTGTTTCAACGATGATCAGATTATATACTCATCCCATTCATTGATAAAAAGATAATAGAATTTTTCTAATCGTTAGAAAGAATATCTCGGTTATTACATTAGCTAATGACGATTCGCTGACTACTTGAATTTCAATTAGACCAGTGGTTTCCAAACTTGAAGTTACTACGCCTCCCTAAAAAGTATGTAATCATTTGGCGCCTCCCCTTTCATAAAACTTGCTGGATTTCCTAAACATTCAATGAAATGTAAAAACAC